AAAATTTACTAATGCGTCAGCAGTTGATACGGTACTCCTTTAGAGCACCCATATACGCTGACATACATTCGTTATAATTTTATTTTTATTGACATAAGAATCAGTTACAGTAGAATAAGAACTAATTTATAGCAATAATTTGCAATGCAAATACAATTCATTATGAAATCAGCAAAAATGTAATTATACAACTATAGTTTTATGTTCCCAACATTGCTTCATTATGCAATGTTAGAAATGACTAAATATTCTTTTTCTTTATATTGAACTTTCTGTTAAATAATCAAATAATTTCATATGGTTTCAAATAGTATAATGTGATTAATATTATGTAATGTAAATTCTTTGATATGGATTAGTATCCTATATGAAATACAAGAAATACAAGAAAAACAAACAAATAAGAGGAATCCCATTGTTAAGGGTCAAAATCGACAAGATTGGTTTACGAAGTAACACATGCAGTAGGCCTATACTGATATTCACTCATGGATTAAGGGGAGAAAATTTATTGTTCAAAAAGTTAAATGAATTTTTCTTATTTTTAGAGTGCTGTAGATGTTGTGATACAATGAAAAAAAAGTTAAGTGTCCCCTTATTAGGGGTTATTTTACCATTTAACACACTCAGAAAGTGTCCCCGTCCCCTTAATAGCGGTGTCCCCTAAATAGGGGTTGTCTGTAGTATTAAAAGATATATTGCCCTTCGTTTCACGGAAAAAATGTTCCCTTATAGGGGTGTCCCCTAAATAGGGGTGTCCCAAAGGAGGAGTTTTACTGTATTACCAATTAGATCACGAGTGCGATCCTCAAGAGAAAAGGTAATCATTACGGAAAAACAAATATACTTTCGTAATGTCCGTTCGCTAATGTACGCCACTTACGAATAATGATGCACGGTGAGTGTTTGACATTTCATATCTATAGAGCAAAGATGAAACTAAAAAGATTGCCCTCTATGACGAAATATATCATCTATATGATAGACTGGCCCATCCAGCAATTTAATCATTTGGACTTTCTCAATCACAAATACCTTTATTATATAGATTAGAGGATAATAGTAACAGTAACATACAGGCTCACTGGCGGTAATTGAAAAATGATTTCAGTTGTAAAACAAGATTGATTAGAACCCGAAGAGAGTTAGGCCTACTTAAAATTCCAAATTATGTATAAAAAATTAAGGAATTCATTGAATTAATGTACCTTAATAAAATAAGTTAATGAACACATAAAAGGAATATTCTAGACCCTACTTCATATACTCAAGGAACGAATGTATATGTTGGCAGGAGGCCGCCGAGGCCTATATAATATCGTAGCTTAGCCTAAGCGTGGAAGGGGATAGGCTTCCCCGACGTGGGGAGGGAGGTGGACCCCCTTTCGGGGAGCTTGGACTCCTCGTCATGGTATTCCTGGACGCGTCCCTATATATATATATATATATATAAGATGCATCCACATGTGTTTTGAATTTGAAGCATAAATATAAAACTGTGTTAAACGATAATACTCAGATACGTATAATTTTGACTTTAAAAACACTGAAATTTGTTAACGAATATTTTGATTACTCCTGCTTTGTCAACGCTTTAATATTTTCTATGTAGGATATATGGAGTAATAATTGAATAATAATTATAGCATTCATATACCGTTATATTTATAGATTGTGAATTAAATTATACATATAAATTTTAAATACGCCTATGTGTATGTATGTATGTCTATATGATACATGTATTGTAATAGTATGGCTGACCAAACACATGCTTTTTAGATTATGAAGAACGTGGGATTAACGCACTTTTAGTTGATATAATCTCGCAGCATTTTAACCCATACACGACTTTGTTTTAAAAGGAGTCCAACGTATTCAAACGATTATTAATACAAGAGTTTTATCTTATTCATTGGGGTTAATTCGATACAATTCATTCTACTAAATTTGTTTACATAAATTTTATGTGTTAAATTAAAATGCTGTCATGGTTTTTTATCCAACAATATTAAGGTGCTTTCATATAAATATTAACCAATAACATTATTATTATTATTATTTATTATTATTATTACTACTAATATTATTATTATTACTATTATTAACATTATTATTATATCATTATTATTATTAATTATTTATTATTGTTAACGGTATTATTTATTAATTATAATTTATTATGCCAATTCCCAAAATGCTTAATTGTATAGAGAGATTTTTTAAGATCTCAAGAAAGCTTGATTTTTCTAGAGTGGGGTGCAACGTTGTTTTAGACCTATTCATTTTGAATTTTATTGTTATATAACTATTTAACTTACATTGAGCTTATTTTCTATAAAAATTTTCAAACACTGCAATTACAGGAGGTAAAACATCGGGGTAAGTTTGGCCCAGGGTTTATTGGAAACGGAATTTTATTATGTAACTTATATTAAGGATAATGTTAATAATTATTATGTAGGCTTATATTTAGTGTTTGTAGTTTACGTCACTCACTGAATGTTATGCTATTGATGATGTAGTTTTGACGTAATGACGGGGAGTGGCCTACGATTTGGGAGAAAAAAAAAACTTAAGAAGTATTTTAATATTTTGAATGGACTAGTCAGGATTTGTAATTACTTATGTACATACTTTATTAATTAAACATGATTTCAAGAACCAAAAATTGTCATTCTGCACACCGTATCATTTACATTGGATATTAATAGATCGGTATTTGATCTACTGTGTATATATAGGTTTTAAAATGTAAAAAAAAAACAATATTGTGCAATAATCACAATCTAAATAAGTTCAATTCTTCCATGGTACACAAGTGATTTTGATGTGGATGTTTATAGATTTGTTTTGTTTTATTTGTTCTATTATTATGATCAATTCATGGTAATGGGTACAACTATCCGTTTAGGCCTAATGATAATGACAAATGGTGATGGAGATGTTGTAATGGGACTTCAGGTATGCTCAGATGACTTTAAATGTATTGGGCTACACTATCCATGTAATAATAAACTTGAACAATAAAATATCCCGCTTGAATTTCTTACTTTGTATGTTTAAATAAGTCACAATTGAAAATTATGAGAAAATATTTCCTTCACAATTAACAGACGGTGGCTATACGGTACCGTACCATGCCATCGATTAGGCCCTTTATACTGACTAGTAATAAATTTAAGGATTTCCGTAGTAAAAAGTCAATCTAAACTGAATTATTTCCATCTGTTCAGTAAAACTTTTTGTTAATACTTTTAAATACCGTAGGCGCTTTACGCACTTTTGTTTTGGAAGTTTATATTTATCTGCCTAGGTCACATAACAAAACAAGTACAACTTGGACAACTTGAACTAATATAACAGCCTCCTCTAAAACTAGAATAATGCCGAACGCACTTCACTTCCAGAGGTTTAGTTCAATATTACTATCACTGCATTATTATTTCATTCAAAAAATATTGTAAATGTAATTGTAATTTGGACATCACAATTTGCATCGATATTGATTGATTATGCATGCTTGGATAGGATAACCCAAACATAGGCCTGCGCATCCCATGGCGATACTTTCAATAGCCTGTAGGGCCCGCGCCATGGGCCTATCTTTAATTTATCCAAATGACTGAGAGATTCTCTTAAAATACCGTACTCGCGTGAAAAATAATATTTTTTTGCACTTTCTGAGGGGCGCTTATTCAAACGGGGCGCTTATTCGAACGGGGTGCTTATGAAAACAGAGTGGAAATTGAGAGGCGCTTATGGAAATAGATGAAAATCGAGGGGTTCTTATGGAAAATTATTAAATTCAAGAGGCACTTTTTGAATGAAAAAAGATTATTTAAGGACATGCTGGTTAGGCGGAAAAGATAATCGTCCAGAGAACATGGCCGGCTCATGACAAGAATGCGTGAATATTTACATAACAGCAAAATAGCAGATGCAATTAGTGGTGGTGGGTAGTGGTTAGCTTGTTGGCCATCGGCCGATTGAGATTAGCAGGATGGCAGGATCATTGTATTTTTTTTTGAAAACTCAGATGAGAATGTGCTAAAGGTCGGAAAAAGAAAAAGAGGAGTAGGACTAGGCATAGACAAATGTAAAAAGAGTAAAGTTGGAAATCTGTCTGTCCATGGATCGTCGGAGCACTCATCAGTCCAAGAGAAATATCCTAATTTTGTTATTGACCTAAGAAGAATGTGTTTCCACTCTGCAGCTCAAATCATGCCAACAACCACAGTCCCATGATTGATTGGATTATTGACTTGCTAAAAAATCTTATTAGGGGACGTTTATTTAAATTAGAAGGGCACTTATTCAAACTTTTCATGGGCGGTTATTCGAGAGGGGCGCTTATAAAACGGAGCGCTTATTCGCGCGAGTACGGTAAGTCACATTTGAAACGTTTGAATATAGTTTCAGGTCCCAGCGTGCTTATCATTAAAATGTAAGCTGTAAAGTGCCAAACTCGGTAAGTATCTGAATAACGAAACATTCGGCCCACAGCATAAAATTCTGATTCCAGAGAGAATACGCTTGTTTTTCAAACCAAAAGAAAACCGTACTCCAAAGAATATTCTAAAACATTAGAAGACATGAAACAGAATAATTACCTAAAATAAAAACTATAACAGCGTATGTTACAGACCTATTAAATATTATGCACAAAAAGACGTGTTTATTATACGTGACACCATACCTCAAGTGTTCTTAATGTCAATTTTGAAAATGGCGCGATTAAAGGGTGGCTAGAAATGCAAAATTACTAATCGGATTACATTCAATTTCATACTGTTTCAGAGATAATGTCTCTATAACACTGATCCATGTTTGACTGTAGCAGACGATCTTGAACGTGGTCTGTCTGCTGTGGTAGCACTCCAATAGACATGTGATTCAAAGGGATATTTCAACTTCATACAGACTGAGTCACAATCGCCAAAAATTAATACAGGAAATCGTCAATTATATACTCATCCGTATCTGCACATACATTACTTCAATTTTTTTTTACTGTTTACTTCTTATTATACAGATAAAGATGCGATCTGTAGGCCGACTCTTAGGCATTTTTATCTGCCTCATGCATCTAGCTTCGGCACGGCACTACCGGGGTGGGATGTTTAGTTATGAGCGACTTGGAAACAACAAGGTAAGAACATTATTAACACCAACAAAAGCAACCATAATAGCTCAATTGACAGAAATGTAGAACTGTGGGCCTGGAAAACCTCTACAGAATCAGGACATAAAATTCAATCTTAGCTTTTTCTCAGCAACAAAATAATTGTTTATTTCAAATCTGGTTCCCTCCTTTAATACTCCACCCTTGGAAGTGCATTATACACGGAGTTGGGGAGGTTGAACCCTTCCAAAAATGGTAATGTAATGGTTACATTGTTGCGTGCATATCGGAGACGATAATGAAACACTACAATGGTTAAATTTTGAACACAAAACTCGGATGCAATATACGAGAGAATAATAGTGGGAGAACAAGGGGTGGCAAAAGGGTTCACTCACCCACAGCAGCAGCCTAAAAACATCTAACCAAAATGTGGAATATAATTTTGAATAAGAGATTAAAAACTAAAAACATCTCCAACACGCACCTTTGGGCAGCAAGTCCCGCCCCTCGTACTTTATGAGTTTTACTCGACATCCATAACCCGCCCCACTCCACCCCTCCTCTCCGGGCAAACAATCTGTATCCACCTGGTTGGTTGGGCCATGCCTACTGCATCATTGGCGTATATTGGATACAGGTTGAAGGGTTACAATTACTGTTGTCCTATCGAATACATTAGTGGCAAATTTAAGTCGAGTTTCCATAAAATCGCTCAAGCTATTGTTGACATCTGATTACCAGTGATGGCGCCAGGACCTGCCCGACGGAGGGAATAAAGGCCCCGACAGTGGAGTGAATCGAGTCTCACTTCAGGGGCTGCCTAGGGACACCGGTGGGGGTCCAGGGATGTTTGATGAATTATGGCGAATTTTTATTACTTTGACAGGCATATCGAGCTACTATATGACTTCATGTAGGCTATGTGTTCTAATGTTAAAATCAGCTTCCAAAACCAAAACATTTTGAATAAAACAAGAAACAAAGAGTATACAATGTAACCATCTAATTTATTTTCAAATCCTCATTCTGGAAAGTGAAATGCATGAAATCTGTCAACCACACTGTCAAGGTCGAGGTTGCTTCCCCTATCACGATGCATTCCAAGCATCATGAGGCTATCCAAACGAGCATTTGTCATAACAGAACGAAACTTATATTATTATTGTGATGAAAAGTTAAATAGTTTAATGAAAGTAAATATTTTTTTTAAATTTGTTTATTCACCGACAAAATTTACTCGTCTTCCCCGGCGGGGGGTTACGCTTTCCTGACGGAGGGGAGGGGGGAGGCTATATCCCCCAGCCCCCTCTGGCGCCACCACTGTGATGTACACATTCCTAATCATAAGACAAACTATTTTCAACATAATATTAGATTTACTGGCCCTAAACTATGGAATTCTCTACCTTCACTAGTTCTCGATTCCACTAATAAAACTCATTTTTTACCCAGCTCAAGAAACACATCATCAACTCCCTTATTGTCCTTCTTTTTTCACAAAATGATGTTCGGTGTCTTTGCCTAATTTGAACTGTAGCCTTTTTTGTGTGTGCGTGTGTCTTCTTTGTCCATTTTTGTCCATGTCCTCTTTCTGTTTGTTTTTTGTGTCTCCCTTTTGTACTTTTGTTTCAGGCTGGCTCGTCACAAGATGATTTTTCTTCCTGGGTCTGTGCCTTTTTCCTGAATTTGTTATGATCTTGTATTATAATTGTGTACAAATGATAAAGGAATCAAATAAATGTTACTTTAAATTGACAACTTTGGGCGACGTGGACTGGTCTGTCAAATGGGGGAGCTTTCACGATTGCATCGTGGACAGCTACGCAGTGCAGCGCAGTAAAAACGCTCAAGTGATACGATAGCGATTTTACATATAAATAATAATTATTCTGGATTTATATCATATATTTATGAAATCCAACCTGGCTGAATATGCCTAATGATAACTGTAATTTATTTTGTTGGTGATTATGAAATGTAATATAAAATCATCGTTGGTGATTATGAGATAGAATATACAATCAACAGTTTACCATTATTATACCTGTCAGTATTGTGTTTACATGTATTCTTTTTGTACTATACTTATCTATCAGTTCTAAAGCAAAAATGATTAGAAATTAATAGATAAAAAATGAATAAACTGTAATGATAATCATTCATTAACAGAAAATTAACCCATGTATTTAATATTATAATGAATGCATTCTCAATTCAATAGGCATGACAAAACCAAGACTGGACATACACATGAATATATTGCTAGTACCGTAGGCTTTCTTTTGATAATAATTATCTTCAGTAAATTTAAATGAAATGAAACATACAGAGAAAATAGTTTAGAGTGAAAGGTCAAAAACGTATTGAATTCAAAATATAAAATTATTATGACGAGTAAATTGAATCAGATGTGACCATATTACGGAAAACAAAATGCCAACCGATAAACAACTAAGATCTCCGATAACTGAACAATCTTCGATAACTAAACGATTTTCGTTAACTGAACACTTTGAATACCGAAGGAAATTCAGTCGTATTTTATTGTAACTACTTGAAACAAACTCGGTCTGATAACTTCCTACTTGCATTATATTATACTTGACAATGATTTATCGATTCTCTACGGACATGAGCTTATTAATCAACTAACATGATGATGCTTTAAATGTTTTTAGTGATCATGAAAACATTAGAAAATCTTTATTTTGCAGTATTTTAATCTCTGATCATAGGCCTGTGTTTTTACTTTCTTAATTGGTAAATGTAGGCCTATTCAAGTCTGCTTAATATGCGATGTTATTATCATTAATAACGATTTTTTTAGACGTCCCAACAAATATAGAAAGAAATACAATTATCCAGGAAATCTTATAACCACATGTTTATTGAAATTTTAAAATAAAAAACCATTTCACCCCCTTTTGTCAACTTCGTGTGGTTTCACGTCCTGAAGTTTTCATATTTGTAGACGACAGTCTCGCACTTCAAACGCAACGGTTTGTGCGCCAAATACATGTCACGTGGTCAGCAGAATTTCCCTAATGACCATGCGTCATCTCGGCAAAGTTTCAAAATCTTAGACATTTGAGGTACCTGCCAGGAACTATTGTGCGTCGTGGGAACGTAATTGCAGATTATGAGATCGAATTGTGAGGAAAATCGTTTAACACTACGACCAACGCTACTACACTACGACAAGGGCTAATTCTCATTTAACGCTACGGTATCACTTTATGCACTCTTTTTATTTATCTTAAATAAAAATAATATATTTCATTAAAGTTTGAGCCATAAACCCAACATTAACTTGCATTAAGATTTCAAAAATTTCAGTCGGGATTTAGATTTTTATGAAAATCCTTCACTGGCCACAATTGTTACCGATAATCCACATGTTGTAAACCAATCCTGTCAATGTTGGGTATTAGTCCTAACCATGGGATTGATTTTTCCTTGTTCTCTTCGAAAAGTTATTTCACAATAATGTATGTTTAATCCATTTCCTTGTCCCTGTGAAAATGGTAGGCATTACTTTATCCACGTCATCTTGTACACGCAGAAATATCTTAACACTAAAAAAAGAGAATTAGACCTAAGTAGTTTTAATTATATTTTTGTTGATTTTGTATCACAAATATATTTTATTTACATTGGAAATGTAATTATTATGACATCTGACAGAGTTTTCAATTTATTTTTATGACATATATAAATATATAGGTTTATGTTATTATGAGCTTATATATAAGTATATGCTCATAATGTACACATATGCCTACTTGACATCAAAAGAAAATGTTGTTAAATCATGGTCGTTATATAATTGTATTTCAGTTAAAAGTAACATGGCGTCTAGCTGCTCGCCGTGGTTGGGGATCCGAATACGGTTGCACACGGGTAGGGGAAATTTTAACAGGTGAACATAATGGTGTATTGAAGTGTGCCGAATGTGACAGGAATCAAACGATAGCCGGACCACTCACCTACAAGTGTCTGGAATACAGTGAGGACCAGGACTGGAGTATAGTTCAAGGGTCAACAACATACGTAGCGGACCGGCAGCAATTCACAATGATGTAAGTGTTGGTGTAGCAACATTATTTTAAGATATTAGTTTTCATTACATGATTACATATTATGTCTTACGTAATGTGAACTTGCATTTACAGCTATGCATGTAAATATGCTTATCATCCTATCTTTTATTGGCTGTTAATTTAGCGCGTGCATTTGAAATATCATAAACGCGCTTGTTATGCGTTTCAGAAAATTCGCCAACTTGTTCATATTTAAACGCTTTAATAGTTAAATGGAAATTTTCCTTTTCAGTGTATTTTTTGTAGGTCTATGAATTTAAAAAGTATAGCTTACAAGAGTTTTGATCCATAGATACGCCTAGAAATTTAGCTAGGAGGCAGCATATTAGTTTCAGCACAGAAGACAGGTCGAGGACAGACATAGAACTAATAATATAGTTACTGAGCCCAGGAGATATAGGCCTATTTACTAGCTATGGCTGAACCATGTTTTCCCATGAAACCAGGTTTATTGCAAACATCATCTCTTTACTTAACCGTGTGCCATGGGGAAACATTCTCGTTCGCATAATAATTATCTCTTACTTAACGCCACAACAGACGAAAATGTTCTCTTTGCTTAAACCATGTGTCCATAGGGAGAAAATTATCGTTTATTTGTTATTTAACGTCATAAAACAGACAAATGTTAAATGAATTATAAGATTCTTTCAAATCCGTGCAGCAAATTTTGTGGTGCGCATGTCCTAGTGCCCTTAAAATGGCAGTGCCTAGTGCTGTTAAAATTGGAAGACTTCTATCGTATTGTCGAGAGAACACAATCCGCTGATGAAGAACTTGTGTGTAATGCTGCGTTAGCTAACTATGTAGGGGCCTATGTGTTACAGTATTTCGCGTGTAATTTACACTAAAACACCAAAAATCGACCGTGGTAACTTGTGTAGGGTTTGACCTTCCAGCGTTTAAATCAAATTTGTATAGGGCCTACATTGCATTAGTGTCAACCAAGTTTTATCCACATCATGGAGGATTATTCCTCTATGTCCACATTGATGCTACCAAACATGTTATAAGATATACGAACAAGATCAATGAACAATACAGTACAAGCAATGGTTACCGATATAAAGCTGTAATTACGCGTCAAATATTGTTCTATGACATTTATATATTTCAATATCAATTTACATTTCATACACTCTGTCAAAAATGCCCTTAAATCGTCATAATATAATATGAACATAAAAATTTAATTACAGAATTGAATATGTAACTTACAAGGATCAAATATGCTAATTCAATGGGACACTGATTGTAAAGTAAATTTTGGCTGATGACATTATATAGGCCTACAAAGTATCTCTTCCTTTTGAAAGTTTTGATGAATAAACTGAAATTTAAATACCTGCATGGTAACCCAGGATGGACTGGAGTACGGTCGATTCTTACAAGCGATCTGGCAAAATGCAAATTACAGGATCTTAGAACAAATTAATCATTGTACCTAGTTGTTTTTGTTGGTGTTGTCCTAAAATCGTATATTTAGAGCCATTGTTGCTATAATTAATGCTGTAATCCTCATAAATGATATAGGCCTATAACTTTTGTTCTCATATAAAGTTGGCCTAAATATGAATTTTTCCGCAACGCAAGAAACGTAATGCATGTTACGATTTGTTAAACAGCAAACAATAGACAGCAAACGTATACAAAAGTTGACTGACTGCTGCGGCCTGGAATTACAATAGTTGTGAAACAATGTTGTCTTGTGTCCGAAGTGAATATGTGAACCAATCTTGAAGATTGATTCCCACTAGGATGATGGGTAAATAGGTTCACTTAGCAAATCCCAATTGAAGTAGGTCGAAATCAGGCTTTGTTGGCAGTGAATTTCAATGAATGAATTCATGTTTAATGCGATCCTATCTATATGAATCAACGTGTGTATGACAAAAACCCTTTAAATTCAAAGTGTTTCGAACCTCCGTTATTTCAAAATACGATGTTTTCTTCATTCCAGCTACCAGATAGAGCCAGAATCCGAATGCCGAGAATCCAGTAACTGGATTGAGTTGGAGAATTATGGTATGCAGACCTGTTGGAGATTAGTAACCAAGGTGGACTTAAGTAAAGACAATCATTCTCCAGTGGTCTCTATGTTGCCAGTGTTCACCGTCCGAAAGGGATGTACTAGCTTCCTTCCAATTGAAGGTAGGAATATCCATAAAAGTAGGTCCAGTCCGTTTCAAGACATGTCGTCAAATAGGCGGTGTGGGGTGTGGAGGGTAAGATAGAAATAAAGCTACATCTAAATAATCTAGGCCTAACATTATTATGCAACATTAACTTCGACAAAAACTTTATTGTTTATTTATAAAAAGGCAAGCACAAGTACTCGAATTTGTTTTTTCGGCGTCTCATACCAAATTCGACAATTTCGTAGACAAAAAGTAGAAATGCACAACTAACCTCAGGGGAAGCTATCTGTGGGCGTCGCTCCAAAGTTCTAGACCGAGGTAATTTTTGGCCTGCATTTCTAATGCTATAATCCCGCGGGAGGGAACCGTATCAGAAACAGCGTAAAAGTGTTGTAATTAATATCTAATTTACTCCATAACTGGGTGACTAGTGATATGGTTGTTGTCCTGGATCGTTTTAATCAACATATTCCACAATAAAATACAACAATAATAAAAAAATAATAATAATGTTTAACGGAAGGTGTTCACCTTTAGCGAATGAGTCATTCAGAACCTCTCTGAAATTTCGTTGTGATTAGTAATTGCGACGATTCCAATTTCTGCAAGTAACTTTTCTTCATTATTATCATTTCAAAAGTTTTCTATTTGAACATTTCACTAGACAGTTTATGTTAACAATTAAAGTCAGTGTAGATATTTCTTAAAATATGCATTTTTATGTATAAGCCTATAACATAAAAAAATATATAGGCCTAATAAATGAAAAGCGCGTCTTCGAAATAGACCTTTCCGGAGTGTCAATCTAACTTAACAACTGACCAATGAGAAAGAGTTATTAATGTTATGGTGAACACACTTTTTTTCGTTTTGGCTTAGGAAAGTATAAATTATCCGAGAAAGCCCCAAAAATGTATAATAAAATAGCGAAAGGATGAGACAAATAAAATATCTATTTTGCCTTACCCATAATATAATTTTTGCTCTGAGTAAACTGTTGGCTTTGAATTTCCAAAGCATTAAATGTAGACGGACGGAAATGAAACCGTATATATCATTTCAATTTTAGCTCTTGCGACTCAAACGTAATAAAGATATGGCAGACAGATAGTTAACATTGACATTATCTAAATGTCGATCACTGTTCTTAATTTATTCACAAAATGATGATGGGAGTGAAATCATACACTAATTCTCTCACTTTATATTCCGCACCCAATGGTCACTTGTTATGATAGCTTAATAGCCGTGCGTCTGTTTTTAAAAGGCACAAATAACCAGATTCGAAGAAACGCAACGTAAACAGTATAGGCATAGACCTCTTAGAACATTTGAGTCTCATTCATCTGCCTTGGAAACTTAGTATCCACATTTTGGCTTACTTACCAGGGGTAACACCAGGGGAGAGGAGAATCCCCCCCCCCATCCCATCGTCAATGCGACGATAAACAAACAATTGCCTATCCAAATAACGTTATTTTGATTGCCAATAACTAATATTGTGGTCTAAAATTTGTGTCATACTAAGCCATTACAACTTATTCAAGGACCTAAGTCGGCCCCTTGGTTCGAATCACCTGTAGGACAGGTCGGACCCTCTCAGTAAATTTATGATAAGTCTGATAAGTCAACAAGTTTAAACTTCAGACACTTTTTCCTTTAATAGGCCTACTCCTTATCAGAAATATAATAAAATCGCCTAATATATTTATTCCTAATTATCTTGGCCTAGTTTTAATTAATGTCAACTATGTTTCATATATCTCCTTTAAATTTAGTCGTTAATGAAATACCGGTAGAAAAGTCTACTGTTACAACTTACTTTCCACTATTGAAGTAAATAAACTAATTTTAATAGTTTATTCATATTGTTGAAAATCTTTTTCCAGTTTTAAAAAACGTGTTTCCATATGGTGTTCGGTTGTTACTTAGATCGCTAATTCAATTTCTTGATACGCCTTAGCTGTTAACATACCTAATCTTTAAAATGTACACGATTCTTGTTACGTTATTCTTCCTGCTTTGAGACAGCTTAATGGTTCTTGGCTGACCGTTGCAACCTTAGTCCTGTCGACATGATAACAAACAATTCAGCTCATGGCAAATCATTTCAAAAGAGAGTTAGGCCTACAGTCTTAACTTCAGTTCCGCTTGCGATTTTATCCAGATCGAATTTAATGTTAATTTTCCGTTATTTTGTTTTGACCTTAGCTCGTAGTAAAAATACAAATATCCCTTTCATTTAGGTGTAGTAAGAATATATGCTATAATATTCTATTTATTTCAGCCACCGATCCGGATGGTGATGAGGTGCGTTGCCGATGGGCAGAAGAATCCAAAGGAGAGTGTCCGCCTTCCACAGCTGGACGACGAGTATGTGGTCAGGCAACTGATTATGCCAAACTAGACTCGGTATGATTGTTTACAAGTTATACTGAAATTCTACACAATTTTAAAATTGATGCGATAAGACGTGTGTTACGTCGCATTTTGTAATAATCGTCGTATTTTGTAATAACTCTGTCGTATTTAGTAATAAACTGAGCTGTCGTATTGTGTAATAAAGTCTGTCCGTATTTTGTAATAACACATCAAATGCCTATTTTCTTCTATACTTTTTGCAGTTTCTGATGGACTAAATAAAAACTTGTGTTAATGGTTGTTTGATGTGAGCATATGATACTAAGAGGCCAATGTTCACATGGTCGTCGTTCTTCTTTTCTATAGTTATCAGTTTTAGATGAGTTAAGTAACATATTTGCGTTAATGATTGTTTGGTGTGGCTGTGTGGTAAAAAGAGGTGAAATATCATATAGGCTATTTCTCCCATTTTATTTTACAATAATGAACGTTGTATAAATGAAGAATTGGTTATAGATATGATAACTTGTGATTGGGAACCCTCAGGAGTTACATGTTCAATTGTCACTGAGGGTCATTTAAAGAATAACCATTATTTTTGCATTATTTTTGATTTATAAAAAATGGTGTAATAAAGGTGACTCCGGCTTGGGAATCATCAGAAATGATTTTCAAGTTCAGAGGTCATTAGCAGTTATTTTACAAAGGTGCACATTACAGTATTAGGTCCTATATTATATAAAACGTTGGTTTATAAAGCAAATGAACAAAAATTAAAAATATTATTTTTCATGCAACTTTTGACCTCTTTTTATCACACAGCTACACCAAAGTACCATTAACACAAGTAATTTATTTAACCCATCAACAACTTTAATCGCTCAAAAACTGCAAACAAATTATAGAAGAAAACAGGCATTTTATGTGTTATTACCGTCGTATTATACGACAGACTTTACTAGAAAATACGACAGCTCAGTTTATTACAAAATACGACAAGGTCTGTTGCAAAATACGACAGGTAATACGAAATACGACAAGGTTTATTACAAAATAAGACAGGTATTACATACGACAATTTTACAAAAGACGTCAATACTGTAGTAGATAGCCTAAATGAAGCAGACCGTTCAATACCTATCCTGTATTTGTAATAGTAGACCTATGCATTTAATGCCAAAGATAATATATAAATTTATATTTAACCTATATATAAACGAATAAGTCTATTCTCGGCATACTAATTTGTCATTATAAATTTATCAATTCTTGTATTATTAAGTGTTTCAGCATGTAAGCCAGTGATTGCTCTTTAAATTTCATAAAAACGTATGAGGAAATGATGTAAGTTCGTCTGTCAATACTGTGGCTGAGATTTAATCTGTCTAGCATTCGTGTAACCCCAAACAAACCACAATTAATTTAACTTCTTTACATGACGACCTTAAATGCAAGTATACAGTTTTATTTTATCTGCCACTAGAAACGCTGCCGACTGGAATTCCCGGCTGAAGGTGAACCAGGCTGGTATGCAGCTACAATCATGGTCGAGGATATAGACAAGGTAACCGGACGACCAAAAAGTTCAATCCCATTTCAATTCCTGCTTAATGTTACTGAACGTAAGTTTTCAGAGTAAAATGATTTTACAACAGGCCAAAATACAATGTCATTTTAATAAATGTAATTACTTATTGATTTCCAGATTGTTGAATAAATACTGTATTGAATAACTAAAATCAGACACAATAATCAATGTAGTATTTGTATTAACAATAATATCAATATGCTAATCAGACTTTTTTTTCATTTTATTTAGTTCTTTACATACAACAATCTCAATAATAGTAATGTTGATCGAGTATAAAATATTCAAGCCATTATAATTAACTTCATCATCACATAATAAAATTCACAAGGTTGTTACAAAATAATAACAAATCGCAATGTTCACGAGTGTGAATTCGTATTTTTGAATTAGAGCGAAATAGAAGGGTAGCAAAATTCAGCAAAAGGCCAGATATATCTATGCTCATATATTCTTGACATAGACTTTTAAAATCTTTTAATAATTAGTTGTCCAAGGAAATCCGGTTATTACCCTGCTTTTAGGAAGTTCATGTACATTCCTTAAGCTAAATACCGTCACCTTAGCAGACAGCACTATCAGTTTTGAAAAAATGTTGTGTTTCAGCTGGAAGTTGTATCGGACCCGGACTTGATGGACCCAGCTGTGATGTCATTAGAGTGAACGAGAGGTGGACAGGAACCATTGTTGCCAAGATTGATCCTAAATCTGACGCCGACAAGTAAATAGGCCTAATTTATAACATCCCCATTTCATTTATTACTCAGCAGTGATAAGCACCTACTATACGTTATTGAACTTTCAAAAAAATATATCAAATACTCATTTAATTTTTCCGAAAGATATTATGCTTAAGACCTGAGTAATTACACAGCCAGAAAATAAAATAAAATACATCCTGTATTGGGTATTTAAAATTTTCCCATGCAGTTTCCATTAAATTGAAATAACAACCTAAGTTATATACAAAATAACCATGATTTTATTTAGTGTAAATAATTTCTTCAAACACGAACAATATACAAACTTTAAAACAATTTAACATCATTTCTACTAGGCCTTCTATTTTGCTCTAGGTTTATGGACTTTTAAATTATACACTGGCACGCCTAGGAAAGAACAAGACTCTGTACTTTGCTCTATATAGGCATAAATACTTATATTGTCGAAAGCATATATTTTGTTATATTCCGATAGTGTCATTGGGATTCTTATGAGCCCACCTGACGGTATGACGAAGCGATATGCACGTCCACCTCCAGGCAAGAAAGTCGTAGCACAACTATCCTACGCATCAAATCGTCAAGGAATGGTTTCGTATTGTTATTCAGGCCTAGACAACAACTGGTGAGAAATATAACTTTTAGTATTCCGGAAATTGCGCAAGTAATATTTTAATAATAATAATGTTATTAAAATCCCAAATACAATTAAATTATACATTGAAACTGATTGTACCTAATACTGTTTCCAGCCAACATTTTGAAGTTTTAATAATAACTTTATAATAAGTTAATAACGTTAGAGTTTGGGTTTTAAAACGTTTGTTGTGGATTCAGAAGTACGTATTTGTAACAAATTTCTATTGTTGTTAATCTTCCATTTATGCATGAACCAAAATAACATAAGTTGTATTTATCTGGACGTTTCGGTCATCTCAACTGTGTTGTTACTTCAATCTGGTCATGACGTCTGGTAACTACACAGTCAGTTGAAAAAGATCACCGATTGTGATAGAAACGTCCAGGTAAATACTGATGCTATTTTGGTTTATGCATACATGAAAGTTTAACAATACATTGGATGATCAGACGATCTTTTTCAATGAACACATTCCTAATTAAGTAACGTTGTAAGGTTGCCGCAACGTTTTGTTGACGTCTTTTTCTGAAATAGCATATAATCCCACACTCAACAATTTTTGTAAACTTTATGATAATGTTTTGTGCTTTTTGAGTTTGTTGACAAATTAATTTTGGGTTTGTTTTTCACAATTTATCATCATCCCAATCCCTTCCTTGCTAGAGCGTTTGTTTTGGTTAAGAAATGTTCGGACGGAGCAGAGTTACAAAAATCTGCCACCAGTTAAAAATATGCCTAATGTACATGTGTTTTGTGCTCCAACGAGCGTTGTTATCCTAATTATACCTTGAGAAATTATATATGATTACAATACTAAGAGATTTATGTTTTTAATTTGATGTCTATTAATAATAGGATTCAAAGTGATCCAGTTTGTGGAAGAATTATTGTTTCCAGTAAGTATTGTTACTATTCTTTCGTATTTTTTTTTTAAATTTTATGACGTACCTATTTCAAATCACTTGGCGCCTTACAGTACCTTGAAATTGTTCCATAAGCATACACAAATATTTTAACAGTTTTATAAAACTAAAAATTTTTTTTCTAATCAGACCATTTACCAAAGGTTGCTGAAGATGTCAAGCCTGCAAGGATTCTTCCGCTGCAATCAACACCAGGACCTGGAACTCAATTTGGAAAAAATCCCCCCCGAATTTGGGAAGTCAAATTCGACAAGCCAGTAAGAATCGTAAAAATTCTGTACGGCATCAGTTTTATATATCCATCAGAATGAACGGTCCAAACATGTTGTATTTTATCGGTTAATCTTCTAGATAATTTTATGAATCTTTTTATGTACAGATTGAGCGCCCAGAACACGCAGCTTACATCAAAGTCGTAGAACTTGGAAATAAGGGTATTAAAACAATCGCTAAATATGACGTCAAAAATAGAAATGAAGTCACATTGGCAGGCGATACCGCTCGCTTCCGACCTCCCCTTGACAGACTGAAAGACGGCGCTATGTACTCTCTCCAAGTAGAAGCTGGGACGGGAGTAGTCTACTTCAAAGACCCATGTGGCAATGCACCAGCTGCCAAGCCCAATGACGAGTCTATGTGGATGTTTGGCACTCAAGCCTGCACCCCAGCTTCTCCGCCTAGAGTTGTCAAAGAGAGGTCTTTCCCAGGCCCTGATGTCAGGATTGATAATGAAGAAACATGGGTCATCAAATTCAATAAAAATGTGAGTTAACGGATCGTAGGAGCAAATCCCTCATATGCATTATATTTTATCCCTTATAAAAAAAATTTTTTAACCTGGAAAATAGGCATATTTATATTACTATAAAGGGACAGCATGACTATAAAAGTAATAATTCATTATGGTAACTATTTTCATGTTTATGATTAAATAAGGATGATATTGTTTTAAACATTCAGGAGCATGCATCATCGATATCAAGAAAGGTTTTACGAGACCCATTCCACAAATAGGCCCCTATTAATTATAATGATACTGATAATTATTTGGATTTGTATTAGTTTTGGTGTTGATAATTAAAATGATTCGTTTTTACTGTTATTTTCTCTTCTTTATTATTTCTTAATATTTTGGTTATTTATGTGGTTGGAATGGCCACCGCAGTGGTTCAGTTAACTTTTGGTTGGCATTTGGGATCCCCCATTTTATATATTGTACTAAATAAATAATAAAAATGAAATAAAGAAAATAATGATAATGGTCACCAGAGGATTGAGAGGGTCAGGCCGGCCGCGGCCCCCTTTTCGAAAGTTAAAAAAAAGAAATAAATAAATAAAAAGAAAAAGATTATTGTTCAAAACGCCTCAGAGGTTATCATTGGGTAGTGTTGTCTCGATCGGCCCCACTTTCGCTCCCCTACCCCCTCTTTTGAACATCTCTGGATCCGCCCCTGGTGACATAGGCTCTATATTAGGCCAACATACGGTAACTGTGGAAACAAGTTAAAATGTATTGAGTGGTGTATTTGTATGGTGCGTATGTTGTTAATAAAAAATAGTAACCTTTTTTTTCCAGATTGTGCGTCCTACTGCACCGGCATATATTACTATCGTCGAAATGACCCAAAACGGAGAGAGTGAAATCGCTAAAATTGACGCCAGAGATAGAAACCAAGTCATATTTCCGAACTACGATCCCACAATAATGAGGATCCGGGCTCCACTTCGCGATTTGGAAAATGGAAAGGTATATGAGCTGAGGATAGACAGCGGTGTGACCTTTAATATCAATCGAAATCCATGTCGAAATGAAGTTGCTAGGAAACCTAATGTTAGAGCAGCATGGACCTTTAAAACTCGTAAGTGAATTTCTTAGATATCAAATTAAAAGTTGTGAAAAATCGAACCCATTACCACAAACTTTTCGAACGGAATACAACCATAAGAATAGTTTGCAAGGGGTAGGCCTTTTGGTAATTTAAATCCAGTTCTCAGAATTTGTAGTGAGAGCTCTATTAGTTCGAAAGACTTTTCCGAAAATTAGGTTTATGTATACCTAATAAAAAATCAAATGCAACTTTTGACAGCTAACTCTATAATTTGGAAACAATAAAGTAAATAGAAGCTCTGCCAGAATATCAATTTTTTCTTTGACAAAAACCTATTGTATGCCCATATATAGTCATGATGATAAATGGTCATCATGTGATGTCATCATGACCATATTAAGGCATATCACATGTTGTTGTCAAATAACATTTGATAGTCTGGACTAGGCTTTAAATTAAACAGTTTAAAATTAAAGCGACGTCGTTTTCGTGAGTCATTATAGGGCCTATTGACATCAGGCCCACTATGAGCATTTGATGCGAGTGTGCACATTTAAAAAAAAATTATGATGGATTGGATGTGAATCAGAAAGTGCCGTCACACTGATGGATAAAAGTTCACATTAAACCAGAAACTTGATTTAATCCTAGTTTATAATATTCTTTTTTTCAACAGGAGCTTTGCCAGTGCCGTATGTAGACTGTGATGATTACAAAATGACGTTTTATGTGCCAATAAGACTTGCAAAGGGTGTTCCTGCCAGATTACTCCATCTACACGACCCTAGATGTGTTTCAACTAGGTTGAACGGAAGCCACATCGCGGTGGCGACGTATTACGACGAATGTGGAACAATAAAAAAGGTACTTTTTTGTGGGGGTGGGGGTTTGCTCATCATGAATCAATTAAACATACCATGTACTTTCTTCTATGAGAAGAAAACAAAAGGTAAGTCCCCAGCAACATCAGTAGTTACGATGATACTAATACAGGGGTCCAAAGTTTTCAGGAACTCGCATTTGTCTCTCGAAAATCGGGATGACTTCCGCACTCCCGCAAGCAAGAATCTCCCGGAAATGACCCATCTCCCTTAAAAATTAAATCTCAAGCATAATATTTGCATGTTTTAAATAATTTATTGTCACTTGTCTAATAGAAGTCAGTGCCGGGGTATCACTAAATGTATTAAGAAAGGACATAACTGCTGCAGATCAGTAAAGGATTCAACGGGATGGGGACAGCCGGCCCGGCCCCTGAATTTTTCCAAATTATAAAAATATTATATTTTAAAATTTAAGTCTGAGAGTGTCATTTCTGGCCATCTAGAAGGGCCATAATCATAAATTTTCATACCTCAGCCCCAATCATGGTGGGGTTGAGGGACTACCATACATCTGTGAAAGTCCCTCCCTGCCTCGGCCCCCTCTATTTCGGATTCCTGGATCAGAGACTAGATCTCCCAGAATTGACTTCCAACTTGTGACCCCTGCTATTGTTAGTACAATCGCTTAACGAACATATGAAGTAGTAAATTTGTTGATTGAAAGGGGGGGGGGGTGGTGCTTGATAATGCATGACCTACAAAACAAGATAGGTCTAGACTTGGACGTCGTCCGTCTATGACACAAGTTCAAACCCTTACCATTGTACTAAGTCGTCTTGGAATTCCCTATAAATTTCTCCATGAATAATTGTAAAACAAATGAAGTGTACAATCTGTCCCTCAATGACAAATAATCATTGATTTTTATTTAATCCATAGCCGATTTCTGCAGACGTAACACGATACGTTAATACCCTTCGCAATAATCCCCAACCTGTGATGAGAGGTGCACCAGCCACTCGCCGTTCACACAACGTGGAGTTGCGTTACATGTGTGAAGTGACAGGAACCAAGCCTGACAGAATGTTCAACCCAAACACAGGTGCGCAAGCGGACAGGTACAGAAACAACCGTAATATGAACACATATCTGGAGATGTACCCAACCGAACAATTCCTTGATCCATACACGTCACCACCAAATGTTACATTCGAGCAGACGTTGTATTTTGCTGGACATGCGTATGACATAAACAAAGTACTGGAGATTGACAGCTGCCGGGCCACTAGTAGAGATAAAACCTGTACAAAATTCGACATTCCTTACGTCATGATTGATGAGGGGTAAATATAAAAATCTTAATTTATGAATTATTGCTGACATTGAAACCGAATCCTATCTGTAATAATAATTACATATTCTACAATTGATAATCGGTAATTTTTTTTACATGTATATCTCTATACTGAAAAATTCTTAATATGCATATTTTAGTTGCGTTGTGATTTATACTTTAAATTTTCATATGTTTATAATAAATATAGGCCTATATTAATATTCAATCTTACATCGTGCATCGTGCCAGCAACGGTGCATCGTGCCAGCTAAAATACATTAAAAGACAATGAAACACTACTTAGCTCATACATACATCTAGAGAGAGGGAACCATGTTGCCTAAAATACAATGGAACAAACAGGAGCTGACCTGAAGCTGCATTCACATCGAATCCAAACCGAGATTCAGGCCTCGTTTCCGAAACGCTGAATAAACGTACTTATATTTTTATTGAATCGATTTTCTGATCGGCTTGGTAAGACTTTCGATCCCAAAATTCAGATTCGGTGTGAGTGCACCTTAAAAGTTGAGTCCGAACCGCAATCGCTGCTCCCACTATTCTTGAATTGCTTGCAAGATGTGTTTGCATCTGCTTTAAAAAAATCTCAAACGCGTAGTTGTAGAATCATAGTCGTATATGAAATACGCATTGTATAAACATTGATACTTTTCATGCAGATGTCCACTTGATCCTACCTTGATGTTCTTAAACACCCCTGGACGATACACACGACGATTCTCAATGTCAACTCTAGCATTGATCAACAAAGGAATGGAACACAATGTAAGTGGAGTTGTAGAGCTTAGTGGTTAAGATGGTTGCCTTCTAATTTCAGTAATGGGTTAAATTCACGACTATAAAATTAACTCCACTACCTATAACTTAATAAGGCATTGTTCCATCTTGTAATTGGTGAGTCTTGTTGTTGGAGGCGAAATAAATTAAAAACGAGAATTTATTTTGTTACAATTAAAATACAATTATAGTTGTCTCAGATAATACAAGCATTTTGATATTTTATCGTTTGTCAGTCACTAGCAAAGAGCATTTTTGACGACAATATATTGATAACAAAGTTCGTAACTGCCTTATGTGTTATGCATGTTTCCTGTAAAACCAAAAACGTCAGGATAAAGAGCTGCATGTTTATAATTTTAACATATTACAACAATACCAACACCTTGATGTTTTATCGTTTGTCAGTCATTTATCAAAGCGCATGTACAATACTGTACTTAGATTGAGGACGATATGTTGATTAAAACATATTTCGTACCTGCGCTTTGTGAAAGTTAGGCCTGCATGTTATCTGTATCACAACAAACGTCGAAGAGCAACATGTTTATATAACAAATATTGCAGGATGAATTCGGTTTGGAAATTATATAACTACAAGATCAATTCGTTAAATGATGTCAACAAATAATTTCAACTCGTAAAAAATATGACTCGTCAATTTGAAGATTTTCACTACGATTTCAACTTTGGTAATGCAATTTTTCGCTACTACCGTGATGTATATACGGGTGTAATGTGCTGTCAGTTACAGGTGGATATTTATCCGCGTTATAGTAATAATAATAATTATTATTAAGACGAATTCTACACTTTTCTATTTGTCAGGTGGTGGTTAATTGTCGCATGGTTGCTTGTGACGATACAAATATGTACGAATGTGACCGGATTCGTAGTTCACGCGAGGCCTGTATGTTTGGCAGTGAATATGAAATGGCCCCTGCATATGTACAAGCAGAGCAGGTTATGAAACGTAAGAAACAAAACTTCCACACCTATAGGCCACTGCCCCTGTTGAAATAATTAACTTCAACAAAATATATTTCAATTGCTTACTTACAATAACGTTAATATTCTTTATATCAAAATTAAAATAAGAAACAGTTGCTTATCTTGTCAATTAACATAAATACCAAAATTTGTATTTTTTTTTTTTTTGCAAAACGTCTGTAGTGAATGTACACCCAAATTGTTTTAATTTGTGTCTAGTATAATGGTTTGTCACCAGTTTATTATGCAATTTAAAGTTATAATTGATATTTTTGTCCGAAGAAAGGGGTTCAACATATTACAAAGGACATATATTTGTATATAAAAAAATATTTTAGAGGACAAATATGGATTTTATAAGTTTTGGCCTATGCATGCAATGTTTAAACAATTTGGTTTGTTGTTTGTACTACGTTTAGGATAATACAGTGTATATTGCATAACACTTCGTGGAAAACACCTCAAACGTTTCCGTATTAAAAATATAGGCATAATGCCACATATATCTAGTGAATTTTAACAGTTTCAAAAAGAGCATGAATTGCTTACTCTGTATACAATAAGTTCTTTGGATCCAATTGGAAATAATAACCTGAACGCTTTTCTCTTCATAAATGTAAAGAGGTTCGTAGTAAAATGTATGTAAATCTTTGCAAACTTGTTATTAAAGATGCAGCTTTTAATAAACTACACTAATGTACTGAAAAATTGTCCGGGGAGGTGGCCTGATAAAGTAAGGCCTAACAGGCTATTCTAGACTTTCTTCCTCGCCAAGGTCGGTAGACCAAGTCTTATTATGGATGCCCAGTACACATCCGACTTGAATACACTTTTAAAAAAATCCACTGCATTTTTTGAAAGAGTAGGGGGATGATACCCCAATGCGGGATCATTTCAGCTCCTGTTGTGATGTGAACATAAAGTGCCTCTCTATAGCTGCCAAGTAGTCACGGACCACGCCAATACGTATTTATCACATTGACGCTGCTGTGCTGGGAACTACTTGATAGTAGATTTAGTCCGCTTTTTGATTTCCTCTCTCCTCTGTTGTTCTCCCGTCGTTTTTAATTGTACTTGTATATTTTTGTATTTTTTGAGAAAAATAAAATGAAGTTATTCTCCTACCTTTACTTCTACTTTCAATGTTGTGAAGTGTTATACAGTAATATAATAATACTTCAATATTCATAGGTTGTGATGCTTTTGTCAATGATACTCTGTTGTACAATTCGACTTGTATATAATTAATTGTGTCAGTTTGTAAACAAACAGTTGCATGATATATCTTGCTCCAATAGTTCAATTAATAAGAAAAATAACTTCATGTAATTTGTATTTTGCTTTTAGTTGAAGTTGCACCAGAAAAGCCGGAAAAACAAAAACGTCAACGATTGAAAAAACAAAAACAGCGAGCACAGGGCGGATCCAGCTCCAGTGGGGATTAAAGTAGATAAGATTTTTAATGAATGGTTGGGAACTTGTATAGTTGTAACCACAGGATATGTGGTTTAACATAAACCAATGGGACTCCCAATGAATAATCTGTATTGGTAAAAGTACACAAAATGTAATTTATTTCTAAATCAGTTATGTGGGCACTCGTGGTGTGGTAATCATCTTAAAATAATTGGTATTCACTCATTTTTTCTTGTGAAAATAATGTTAAGACCCTGCGTAAAGTTAAAGAATTACGTCATAATACTGTTTAGTGTAATATTTGACAAACTTTGGTCTAAATCGAACTCGAAAATTTTCATTTACTGTTGTTGACAAGAAAAATAATCTTTAGATTTAAAATTTCGATAACACTGGATTTATAACACAGACATGAATATGTGGCAGTTGTCTAAACTATGATGAATAATAATTTTAAGACTTAAAAAATCAGAGACAAACAATGTGTAGACCTACATAATTTTTGAAGGAATCATTTTGTATACATTGTCTAATATTACCTCAGGGTTTCCGTTAGTTTATTTCTTTAAGTTATTTTTTGACTTCCACCAGCAAGTATCATCGATACCTGATACGCTTAATGTGTGCGCGAATCATCTAGGCCTATAAACGTTGTTTAACCAACAATGAAGGAATCTAACCCTAATTAGATGTTTGGTATAATGTTATGTTTATTTCTAGTTTGCTTACCTTGTATAAATGTTTATTTTGTTGAATTAATGATGTTTTGCATTAGTTAAATAGCAATGTAAATTACTTTAGATTACGATGAAGAAACGGTAGAAGAAAAATATTACAGCGTAGGGATAGTAGCCCATACAGCGCCCCCTATAGATTATGTTCTGTTCTGTAGATTGTGCTAGTTTGGACCTTGCTTGAATGATTAAACCGTAAATAAATGCCACTGTTTCATTTTAAATATCTGCTTTAGTTGTAAGGGAATGTTACTTTTATTTGTTTCAATGTATGCCTGTTCAGAATATATGTTATGTGCAATGATATCAAAATAAATGCTATTTACGTAAACAGTGCCATCCATTGATTTTTTTAAATTAAGGCATGATCATTTAAAACTTGGGTGCTTTTAAAAAAAAATCATGAGTCCTAACAGCAGAGCCAAAACACAATAAACCACTACAACATCACAAATCAACTTTTTCCTTTTATTGTATACCTTAATTTGTTACTTCTTACAGCTCATTTATTTTGTAACTTTTTAAGACTTCTTTTGTAACATTTGATTGTGATCCATCCACTACGAGTTTCCGTAGTGATCGCCCTATACAATGCATCATGGATTCTAGGGTGTCTAGAAAACCGAGTTTTACTTCTAGTTTTAATTAAAATTTCCCTCTGAAAATAATGCTATTTCTAGAACTAGATATTCTCAGATCAGAGATCTGAGTTTTCTGGACACCCTGATTCTAGCTCTTAACCATTACATCTTTGTGACATGATTCTATGAATAATTGCTTATGATGCTAATTCATCCCCAAGTATACAGTTACATATTGTAGACATATTATTACAGTATATCTTGGATCTTTATATAAACACATGCATTGTCAAAATAATTTAAAATGTTATTGTTTTTGACTGATTGAATATAAAAAGAGAATTTATTGCACACAGCCTAGATGAGTGGTAGACGCAATTGCGTAAAAAACACGTACCGTACCATTGAGAACCCGAATACAAATACACTGTATACGTTATTATTATGTAAAGTAAAGCATTCTTCAGAATAAGCAAATCAATATACTATAAGCAGGTAAGAAAAATCTAAGATTACACTACTTTTTGTAATATTATAAATGACAGTGATGGGCCATAACTATAGGTTGAACCAATCTGTTACTCTATACTTCATTTTCAAAGGGCAATGATACCAGGGTGGTCAAAAGGTTGCTGTTTCAATTCTCAACAAAGCATGAATCAAAATTTTCCCGGACCCCCTTTCTTTTTGGATTTTTTTGAAAACATTCTGACCCCTCCCTCCTAAATTTGAACCCAGATCCGCCCCGGCCTGTAAGTATAGTGTCCATGTAATGTCATCCACTGAAAGCAGCAATATTACACACATGGAATTGAAGAAGATGACCTAGGTGTATACACCTGTGATTTCCGTTAATCACAGGTGTATACACCTGTGAACACACAATCTACACTATATTCACACCAGTCACGTCTGATATTAAGACAAGTTATTCCTCCATTATTCTGTAGTTCCTACGCAGCACACTATCAAGGACAACATCAGTTAAGTTTGTATTGCTCAAAGTCAACCCAAGCGATCCACCAATAACACTGCAACAGATTTACAAAGAAAATGTACTAGCAGAAAGAACTTCAGCCTACTTTGAGGAATAAATTATTATGGTTTAACACACAACATATCTGGAGACAATAGTTCACCTGTGTGTAGCTAGGATTTCTGGATCTGCAAAAGCAAAGAAATGCATATAACCAGGCAACTACACTAATGATGCAAAGCAATATTAACAGATACTAGATACAGACTTCTAAAGAACTGGTACAGAGCTATCTGGCAATCACCTTACGTCACTGCAACACAAAGACACTAACAGCTACCCTTGTACTGCTATATCTGTTATTGGCACTGTGACCATGCTTGGTATTTATCCCAAGATCTTTGGATTTTTAATGACACCCTGGGATGATATCTTCGGATTTTTTTTGTTAACTTTTCATTAAATCTTGGGACTTTTTAATGATATGAAATTTTTATTTTATTTTTTCATCAGTAAGTGAACAAATAAAGCTGTTAAAGACCTTTATAATATCATAGTTGACAGTTGTGAATGAGGGTTGTTTATTAATTTATTCAAAAAGACCTATATGTTTTTTTTTTTCAATTTTTTCACTGTAGCCGTGGGTTAGATCAGTGGGTGTGTCCAAGTACACTATACTGTAAACTCCTTTTTTTTTGTAATCCATTTTATTATCTTGTAATAGTAAATGGGTTGTAAATTTTTGGGCTACAATACGATACCATTGTGTCTAGCCTACACATTTCATTTGGTTGATGCCAAATTAAGGAAAATAGAGAATTTTATACAGGTTCAATGATCTGAAGACATACTGTTCAAGTGTCATTTAAAATTATATAAAATAATCCTGTAATACAATATGTATAGATGGCAACAAGTGTTTAAATAAACAAACCAACCACATGGTTAAGTAAAAACATTCCGGAATCAACATACAACATAAAACTGTACTAGTCTGGAGAAACACTTTTTGCGATGAGTGACTGATTTGGCTTGTCTATGCCACATTATGAGGCCAGGGGTCCCAAGTTGAAAGAAGCCACTTACTTAAAAACCTGGTTATGAACATATCTGTAACATTATTTTTCTACCACTATTTTATATGGTGGTATCCATCACCAACTAACAGCCAGTATACACTTTATAATACAGTATACACCATCGGTAAAATCTTGTATATATTATGAATTTGTGGAAGACAGGTTAGTTTCCAAGGGGTTTTTGCTTTCATGCGACTGGAGTGGCTGTCTTGATTTTCAAGAGACTCCTGCAACTTGCAGGATATTTTGGGAACCCAGGATAACAGACAGTGAAACAAGTTTATGGTGATGTGTTTGGACAAATAATTTTGGACTCTGCTTCTAGTCTGTCCATTGGATGCATGCAATCAACATTGTTATGCATTTATACATGCCTATTCATTCATTCAAAATAAAATCAATCATGCATAAGCCTATAAGGAAGTAAAACTCTAATTTCCATTTTGAAAACATACCTGTAAGAGGAAAATCAACAGAAACTTTCATGGATTTGGATGTAGTATGTGTTGTTGATTCACTTCAAAAATGGTGTGTATATATACATTATCCCATACTTTTATATTTGCCTCAATAAATAATATGTAAAGACACCTATGATTACCATGTATGTGTTAGCGTCACACATAAGATTTAATTTCTCTTTGATGCTAGATATATAGAATCTTTGATATGTTGTGAATCAATTTAGTGCTGAAGTTATTTCAGTTTAAAGTTAACTATTTATTTATTTTGAAATATTTACACATTAAATAAAAAGGTATATACATGATGATTTATTTGATTGACTGATGAACTCATGGGTAGGATACAACTACTTCATATAGATGCTTACCTTCAACACCTAAGGTCATGCATTCAAATCTTGCAAAAAATTAGAATCTCTTCACAATCCTTATAGGGTATTGTATATAAAACTTTAAATTTTGTCATTAAATAATATGTAAATATATCATTATATATGTTACTGTTATTATTTACAAAATAACAGTAATTTACAGTAAATTGCAATTTTGTCAGATTTTTGCCTGAATTCCATCTTCAAAATTTGATTTACAATTCTTGAAGGATTTAAAAAAAACTACTTCAGCATTTTTCTTACAAGGAAAAACATAAAAAATGTTTGGTACATATGTGTTACCAGTTATTATATTACTAGCTTCTGTTCTGCAAGTAATGTTGTACAGTGTGACACTTTATCCAGAATCCATCACTGCTGAAGTTGGAACTGATTCAGTCAACTTCGCCTGTAAAATACAGTTGACAGAACCAGAAGCAATGAGTTCACATTGGATAATATGGTGGAAGGACAACAACAAAATTGCAGAAAATGATATTGTAATGATCAATTCTGCCAAGTACAGTGTTCATGGACTATCATCTGCTCCAACTCTGGAATCCATACAGATTTTACAAGTTAATAATATTAAAGGAACTGATTATGGCGAATATACATGTACTTTTATTTTATATCTACCTATGACAGGAACAATTACTTCATCAGATTCTACTATACTTATAATAAGTAACTTTATTTTTCAACCTGTCTGTTCCATTAGTCCAAGTGAATCTGAAACTGGACAGCAACTGACATTAATCTGTACAAGTTCACCAAGTGATCCTCCAATAGTACTTTACTGGACTGATATTGAAGGTAATATAACTGCAATAACACAACAGAAACAAAATGAACCTGTGACATTATCATATACAGTTCCCGTTGAAAGTTTATCAGGCAACCTGAAGTTTACATGTAAAGCTACCAATACAGTATCAACAGACACAATTAAGGACTGTGTCATTGGCAATCTGACTTCAATGACAATGACGAGTGGAGCAGTTACAAGCATGGCATCATCTAGCATAGCACAATCTATTGAAGAATCTACAGTAAATGGCATTACCGCATTTATCAGCCAAAATATCCAAACAGATGCTCCTGAATACAGGAGCACTAAATCAGTGACTTCAACCGGATATGAAACATCTCCACAATTCAAAAATGTTACTCAATCTACTGAAGAATTTGAAGTAAATGGCATTACCACATACATCAGCCAAAATATTCAGACAGAAGTAAATTTTCCTGAATATATCAGCACTAAACCAATTACTTCGACCAGATATGAAACATCTCCACAATGCAAATGTGTTTCTTGTGACGTCAAAGACAATAATACAGTTATTGCAATATTATCTGTCACTGGAGCTATAAGCATATTGGCCAATGTGGCACTTTCAAGTTATATACTTATCAAGAAAAGAAAAAAGAAAAATAAAAATGAAAAAGACTCAAACTACTATGCAACTAGCATAAGTCAACAGTGCAGTAAACAACAGCATGAAGTTGAACAATTTAACCAAGACGTTGGAGAAGATGATTATATGGAACCAATTGAAGTTGGAGAAGATGGTTATATGGAACCACCTGCACACATTCAAGATCCATATGAACAAATCAATATTAATGTTGAATAAGAATTTTACATTCAATTTATTTGCAAATATTAACAACCAGGTTTTAGACTAAAAAAACATGAAAAAAAAAAGTTTTTAATTTCTTAAAGCCTTATATTCTATAGTACTTTAGTTTTTAATTTCCATCTTGAAAATGCACCTGTATGATGACAAACAACAGAAACTTTCATGGATTTGGATGTAGAATGTGTTG